GCAGAGATAGCTTTTATTTCTACCTATGACTTTATTTGAAGCAATAGTGGTATTTTGGTCATTAAAAAAAAGGGAACTTGAGACTCCTGGTCAAGATGGGGTTGTAGGTAAACATGCCTCGCCTCTGTGCTCAACTAATCAAAAAGTACAACCAGACTACAAAACAAATTAATGCCCAGAATTGTCCAAAAATTAAGCTGTATGCAAGTCTGACAACCAAGCATTAAAGAAGCCACATTCATCTAGACAGGTAGGAAGAGCAGAGATGTGGAGATGTTTGGAGAAGCATGGAGAGGTAGATGGGAATAGGCAGTCCCACTTCCACGTGTGGTGGATAAAAAAAATGGAAGGGATACCTTGGGAGCAAGGGATCCCAGCCCCAGTCCAGGCCAACTAGCCCAGGGTCCCAGCACCAGGAAGATAAGTCCCTGTAACTTCTGTCTGTAAACACCAGTCGGGGGCTTAATGATGAAAAGAAACTGTGTCCTCTTTAAAGGGTCTGAAACTGACTTAGGACGCATGCAGACCCACCCCCTCTGGAATTCAGCACCAGGGCAACAGGTGAGGCATAGGGGGAGAAAGTAAGTGGGAGCGGGGAGACAGCTTCCTCCTGGGCAAAACTCCAGAGGCCAGGCAGTGACATTGTCCCCCCTGAGAGCCCTCTCCCATGCAGAACAACAGAGCATTGACATACGTTGCCCCACTCTGGTGATTAACAAAGGCTCTGCCCCATAGAACTTAATGGGTATGCTGACAGGAAGTCAAAGCAGCTCTACCCAATACACACAAACAAACACAGGGAGGCTGCCAAAATGAGACACAGAAATAAGGCCCAAATGAAAGAACAGAACAAAAATCCGGAAAAAGGACTAAATGAAATGGAGATAGCCAAACTATCAGATGCACAGTTCAAATTATTGGTCATCAGGATGCTCCAGTAACTCACTGGGTACTTCAGAGGTATAAAAAAATCCCAGGCAAAAATGAAGGTTGCGTTGAGTGAAATAAAGAAAAGTCTACAGGGAAACAGTAGTGGAGGGAATGAGCCTGTGAGTCAAATTGGAACACAAGGCAGGAAAAAGCACTCAATCAGAACAGTAGGAAGAATAAAGAATTCAAAAATATGAGGATAAGCTTAGGAACCTCTGGGACATCTTTAAGCATACCAATATCTGAATCATAGGGATGCCAGGAGGAGAAGAGAAAAATCAAAAAATCAAAAACTGACCTGAAAAAAATAATGAAAGAAAATTTCCCTAACTTGGTGAAGAAAATAGACATACAAGTCCAGGAAACACAGGGAGTCCCAAACAAGATGGACCCAAAGAGGACCACACCAAGACACATCATAATTAAAATGCTAAAGGTTAAAGACAAAGAGAGAATCTTAAAAGCAGCAAGTGAAAAGCAGAGTTACCTGCAATGGAGTTCCCATAAGTCTATCATCTGGTTTCTCAAAAGAAACTTTGCAGGCAAGAAGAAATTGGCAAGAATATTCAAAGTGATGAAAAGCAAAGACCTACAACCTAGATTACTTTAACCAGCAAAATTATCATTTAGAATTGAATGACAGATAAAGTACTTCCCAGACAAGATAAAGCTAGGAGCTCATCATCACCAAACCATTATTATATTAAATGCTAAGGGAATTATGTAAGAAAAAAAAAGATCGAAACAATTAACATTAAAATGGCAACACATTCACAACTACCAATTATTGAATCCAAATAACAAACTAAGCAAACAACCAGAACAGGAACAGAATCATAGGCATGGAGATCATTAGGAGGGTTATCACCTGGGAGTGGGAAGGGGAAAATGGGGGGAAAGGTGCAGGGATTAAGCAGCACAAATGTTAGGTACAAAATAGACAGAGGATGTTAAGAACAGTGTAGGAAATGAAGTAGCGAAAGAACCTTTATGCCTGACCCATGGACATGAACCAAGCAAGGGGATTACTGGAGGGAATGGGGGTACGAGGTGGAGGGGGGAAAGGGAAAAATTGGGACAACTGTAATAGCATAATCAATAAAATATCTTAAAAAACAAAAAGAGGGAAGTTGGAAAGGAGTTGCTCTTATCTAATATAAGCAATAAAAATAAAATCTGGCTTTAACTGTCTTTCCTGCAAAGTGTTTCTCTCTTAGATGTCTTTTCATTGAAAAAGGCATACCTTATGACCAGTCTATGAACACTCATTGAATATTGCTATCTCCTATTAAGGGCATGGAAGTAAACTCTGCAACTAAAACAGATGCCTTCGCCCACAGTTTCTAAAATCAGAGGGTATTCATAAACCTCTTCACAAATTTTCAGAGTGTAGTGGGAAACAGGAACTGTTAAAATTTTGAAACTCTACCAAAGTACTTTCTGCTTCTTCCGGTAAAAAAAAAAATTACTCTCTAGGAAGCTCACTATTCTAAAAAACATACAAAGCAATTAGTGTTAGAAATTCACGGCTAGCATTTGGGATACCTCAGCCAACTTTTAGAAGAAAAGATATTTTACTTTTTGATAAAAAACCATAGAACAATGGTTTTTCTATAGTTTTGGGGGAATTTTTTTGGGGAGAGGAATCAGAGAATCCTCCCAAAATTGTATTAGAATTGTTTCAAGGGAGGAGAAAAAACATTTACTTTATTATTTTATGTCTGAGCAGAAATTCCATGAAACATAAAATGTCCTCTTTATTCCTTTGGGCACATGAACATTATAGATTCCCTGATACACTAAATCCCCATACAAACTACAAAAAATTAAACAATTATTGGCAGAATTTTCTACATTAAAAGCAGGAGCTGAAGTTAAATAATCACATAAACTTTGAATAATTATATTATAATGAACCATTAAATTTATATAGGAAAAAGATTGCTCTCAGTTTTCAGCTGACAAAAGAGCAGTTGGGAGGTGATCATGTAGCTTTGAAAAGTAGAAACTCTAAGCAAGGGTCAGCAGCATAAAGGCAGGGAGGCACCTGATATGCCACTTTGACAGTTGGGTAAAGATGAAGGGGAATAAGATTGTAAACCAGAAGTGATGATAAAAAGGGTAGAATGAAATGTTTGATAATGATAAAGTGAGCTTTACTTAACATGGACAGAAAGAGCAGGAAAGAGAGAAAAGTAATTTAGTTCAGAAAGGAAGTAATCTGTATTTCAATTTGCAACAGCCAAGGGATGACATTTGAAGGATGACAGTTTTATTGTTAATATTTTATACATAAGAAACTCCATTTATATGAAAGACAAATTAGTATAAATTTCTATCGATGTGATATATATATTAAACTATCAAACAGAATTTTGTTCTTTATTAACCTGTTATAACCCTAAAAAAACTATTTTTAGTATTTCAAATTACAAGCAAGCTCATGATTTTATAATGTGAAGATAACCCAAAGCCTGACTTAGTTACAGGTTGGTCCTATTTTGTCAGGTGTCCTCCACCTTTGCCAGGTGTCAGGTTACAAGCTAGGGTGGGCTCCTAGCTTGACCAAGGAAATGTAAATGCAGAAAGCTGTAAAACCAATATTCCTCACTTAGGAATCATGTTAGTAGTTTAACATTAAAATCATTTTTGAAGAGCCACACCTGGTATAAATTCTGTAGTGTTTAGCTTTTTTTATTCACTTAAACTGCACTGATATACATTTATAGCTCTCCTAATAATCACTTTAAAGGTTAGTAAACCTATCTCCTGGATTTTCGACGTCACTTCAGAATTCAAGTATTTTGTCTATTGTCAAATGATGTGTCTGGATTTTGGTTTGGAAAACATGGTCACCGAATTTATAGACTAACTCTGAAATAGCAATGGCCTTTGGCATTAGTAGTAATTCTCTTTCTGGGTCATGACTCAAAAAATCAAAGTTAATTATTTACGTGTACCTAATAAATTATCAAAATAATAAAGACATTTTAAAACTTTGCAGTATTGCAATTTGAAAAGCAGTCAAATATAGTTTATTACACACACAACATACACAGGTAGTAAACCTAGAAATAGCTGTTCACCCTTACCATGTAGGAAATGAAAATCAGCTTCCTTAAGAGGCACTGTAATTATATAGCTCAAACTAAGGGAGACAAAAATAATCTAAATTTGCTTGTGTTAATATTAAAAATATTAAATTTGCTTGTGTCAAAACTAAAAAAATGCATTTGGGTTTTCTTATTTTTAATTTCTGTAGACTGTAACACATATTCTTGACAAACCAGAATTGAGAGGGTATACTGGCATGTGCTATACCTATGATAATTACACTTACGAGTGAACTTTCTTAGTTAAGATTGACTCATTATCCAATATCAAAATATTAATGTTTTGTAAGTAAAAACACTTAGATCATTTGATGGGCTTTTCCCTTCTCCCGCATTAATTACTATTCTTTATAACATTATAACATTTGTTCATTGCTCCGCTCTTTATTCTTTCGTGATTTAAGTAACCACTAATTGGGGCGGGGGCGGGGGGAGTTTTTAAATCTCCTATGTCTAGAACTGGCATTTAATAACTCTTTCGAAAATCAAGGTGATTTTTCTCTAGTCTTGTTAGAAATAACCTATCACTAGTGATCAGGCTTTCCTCCCACATTTCCGTGCTAGGGGACTTAAGAAGCCCGGGGATGCTGCTATAACAAAGGTATGAGTGGGAGATGGGATATCACCCGCTTGACACTCGGGCACTGTTGCTACGAATGATTCACTCGCGTTTGGCACCCGTGCTGCAAGGAAATCGCCGCCGCCGCTTCCTTCTCCAAGCTCCTTTCGGCATGTCTCCTGTGCTTTGGCCTTTAAGGAGAATCGAAAACAGGTGGGCACAGAGGAGCTCGCTGAATTCTCCTCCCCCAGCTCCTACCCTAATTTAGCAGTACTTCCGGCCGCGTGACATCATCCCCCGCACCCCGGTGACGTGAGCGGCGGGTGACGTGTGTGCGGCGAAGAGCGCGCTGACGTTGCTATTTAAAGGTCCTCCTGCGGGGAGGATGGAGACACAGCGCAAGCACCTGGTGTGGGGTGCGGAGGAGGAGGCTGTGGCGGCCAAGAGCCAGCGGAGGAGCAGAGCGCACGGGCCGCCCGCCACCGGCCACTAGGGGAGGGGGACGGAAAGGAGGGAAGGACGGACCAACGGACTTGAGGGCCGGACTAGCTCCCACGAGGACCGGCTCGGGACTACCATCCTCCCCGCAGCCTCCTCCTGCTGCAAGCAGGGCCCTGGGGACGTGTCAGCGCCTCTGTCCCCCGTGCCTGGCTGCAGTCCTGGGCTGCCTCTGGCCTCCTCCCTCGAGCAGGGGGAGGGACCGCTCTTGCCCCCGTTCTCCCCGCCCCGTCTCCACCCTCCCCTCCGCAGCCAGCTCTGCTGCCGTGCTGGGCTCGAGCGGGCGGCGCTGACCCGGGAAGGGGCGCCCTCCGCTTGGAGACAGTCCGGTGCGGGCAGAGGCAGTGCCGGGCTTCTGGGCCGCCTGGGTCGCCGCTGCGCTGCTGAGCGGGAGCTGGAGGCCGAAGGAGGCGGGCGGTGATGGAAGTGTGAGGAGGCGGCGGGCCCGGGGACTGTAAGGCGGCGCGAGGCGGCGGAGCGTGAGGGGCTAGGAGCTGGGGTGGGGGCGCTGGAGCAGCGGCTCTCCCTCGGCTTCGAGCCCCACTCTTCTGCCCCCAACGCGGAATTAGCCTCCTGCCTCGACTCGGGCGGGCTCCCATCGACACTTCAGCTCCGTCCTCCACCTCTCTGCCCGCCCAGGAGCTGGGGGCAGGGTGCCGGGGGCAGCGTGGGGCTTGGCTCTCTGATTCATTCATTCTCCACCGACGGGAGCCTCGGACCTGCTGTGCTCTGGAGAGGAGGGAAGAGTGGGCAGCAGTGAATGAAGGGCCGGGTGGAATCCGGGCTCCATTGTGCTCGGCAGCGGGAGGCGGGAAGGGGCTGAGGGAGGTGGGATCGGCCCCCTCCCCCTGCTCTCCGGCGTGCGCTGCGCCCCCAGCCTGCTGCCAGCCTGGAAATGGCTCCGTTTATTCTCCTCCGGAGAATGAATCGATTCTGCCCAGCCTTGTCTTCCTCCTCCCCACCTCTTCTCTGCTCCGAGTCTTAGGAGGCGAAAACATTCAAAAGACAGATTCCTATGTGGAGTGCTGTGCACGTTGCGAGCTGCCAGGTTTGCACTTCGAGGAGATTTTTTTTCTATATAGCTTTTTCTAATGTGAGTGCAGGGAAGCGGTGACATTACTGCTTTAGGATTTTTATTTTCTCGTACGACTCTATAAAGTGCACGTCTCATTGGGTTGCACGCTCCACCCCCAGGACCTGGTGTGGTAGAGAAATTTGAACCCGCAGCCTTAGTAGCACCGGAAAGACCGAGTTACCTGGCTCTCCGTGAGCGGAGAAGAGCGAAATGACCACCGAACTCGTTTTTTATAGGACTCGGTGAAGCTGGATTCTGCGTTTTCCGACGCGTAGACTCATTCTGTGGAATAGAGTTAACCGCTGTCTCCTCCGCGCAGCATTTTAACTCTAATAATCAAATGCCACCTCTGTTCGAACGTTTTGGTATTTACGAGAGAGAGATCATTTTACATAAGGGAACTCATTGAATTGTCAGCATTACTGAAATACCTCCAAAAAAGGACCTCGGGGGGTGGAAAAGCAACTGCGAAATAGACGGAGAAATTCCTCTGGAAGTTATTCCGTAGCATAACAGCAAAAACTTCAAAGCAAGTTTTCATTGGGCAAAATGGGGTAAGGATTTTTGGTGCTTAACACAGCTTTGAGTGTGTGTGTGTGTTACTGAGTCCTGGTGGTGATTCTCCGTGCTTTGTGTTCACACAAATTTGCCACCTTGCTAAGCGGTCCGTACTTTAAAAAGTATAGGTATGTTAACCTTTTGACAAGTGTTTTGTTTGTTTGCTTTTTTATGGTGTGACACCCGGAGGTCATAATAAACATACGTTAATGCTTTTTAAGAAGACAACACACTCTGCACTTGTCAAACTGCCACATCAGTTTGTTATCAGAATCGTGTTTTCTTCGGTTTTGTTGCTGGTGGCTTCCAGAGAAGTACAGTACTGCATTCTCTCAGTACTTTGAGAATAATCAGTTGCACAAAGAAACAATTGTAAAGTAATGAGTGGTTAGACTACAGTCCTCGAAAATGATCCAGTGTAAATTGTTCCCCTCACTGTGCCCTCTGCTTTGCCCTTGAATATCCAAAGCTAACATGTGCAGAGTTGATTTATTGGGACATGAGAATGACAATCAGAAAGTCTTACTGATGTCATCTCCACAGTGCTGGTGAACTTGGTAGAAGTCAAAATTTGACTAGGAAAGAGCTTTTTATTGAAGGAACTTACTCATTTCCTCTGTTGTTTGCTCAGGTCTTTAGTTTGTGTTAACAATGTCAGATCTTCACCTTCTTTCAGATCCAAAGTCAACTAAGAGTGCATTTTCTAACCTTTTATTAACTCTTGATTCGGTAAATTGATAAAATGCTAGCGATTTCCTAATTTATGCCAGAAACCCGTAATATGTTAATGGAATATCGTGTAATCATTTCATTGACATTGTTGATGCGCTTTGTCAAAGAGAAGCTTCTAGAATTTTCTCTCTTTTTTCTTTTTGTGGTGGTTGAACAGACACACCTCAAATGTCATTAGGAGACAATGGTAAAAGGATCTGCTTTGAAATCCATTATGACAGTATGGGGTGTGCACACCTAAACTTACTTTCTTGAAACTTCTGGAGGAAAGTTCTTAGATACTATCCTTTATTTTGTAGAATTTGAAGTTTATGAACTTGAACAAGTTTGAAAATGCAGAACATGTAGGAGTCCTTCATCAGGAATTAATGAGAGTGATAATTTTAAAATGACAGTTGATGAGAACATTTCTAACTTGCATGATTTGGGGTACTGCTAAGAGCAATTAAAATATCTCAATGTGCTTTGTAATCTACAGCAAATTACTTAATCTGTATGGACTGTATTTTATCTGGAAAATGAAGGACTTAGATGAGTTTAAAATTTTTTTCCAGACTACAAAAGTGAGTTATTTTCTTTTTCTTCTCTATTTTGATTACTAGTTTCTTGAAGTAAATTTTTCAAATGGAGAGATTGTTTTTGCTAAGCAGTTTTTAAGCATGTAAGCTGAAAAATAATGGCATTTGAAAAATATGTTTTATGAATTGCACCAACTTTAATAAGAGAAAATACTGAAAAATTACTATTCAAAACCTTTGAAACATGGCTTCTCTTGAGATTCTACAGCTCTTCTGTCTAAGATACGAGGAAAAAATCAAGTGGCAGTTTTTCATGTTGAAGGCTGAATTCTCTGTAGATGGTGGAGTGGTGGCATCATGGAAGAAATTGTTTTTCCACAACCTTAAATCTGCAATGAAGCTCATCGGTTTACCAAGGGAAGCGTGGGGTGAATTTAAATCTAAGGGGACTGGTATTTAATATCTGAAAACAAGCCCCCACACATAGCTCACATTTTAGATACTTCAGTGTAATTAAATTTGTTTACAAACTAATTTATTTGCCCTTTTCTTAATAAGTCTTAAAGGTAGAATAGAAAAGAAAAGGAGTGTTTATGGCATTATTTTCTGAACATCTATATTTGGGGCTGTGCCTCTTTCTCATTGATAGGCTTGTTCAGGCAGAGTTGTCAAGAGAGGATGGGTGGGTGGAATTAGCAGAGCATACAGGCATAGCCCCAAGTGTGGAGATTTCTACACTTGGTAGGTGTTTATACCTGGTAATTGCGGAATAAGCATAGCCCTTTGCACCTATTTAAGACAAAAGAAAATAGAGCTTTAAATGGTCTTCAAAGTTGTACCCAGGCAATCATGTATTAACCTCCTCTAACAAGTACCAAAATTTAATATTGTAAGTCAAGAGTTTCACACTTTATGAATATATTTTTGACCAACATTATTATAATAATTTATCTTTGCCTTAATTATGGATAGAATTGTAAGTCTAGAGGCAAAGTTTAAGCAAAAATGAATTATTTTTAAAGAAAATGAGTGATTAATTCAGGCAGGAATAAACTTGGCTCCTGTAATAGTAGTTTATCAACTATGGTGGAAACGGAAAAGAACAGCTGAAACTGACAGTTGGCTGAGTCTGTCAAAGTATCTTGGATGCTGCCTGCACTGTTTTAATTAAGTGAAGGCAGTGGAAGTATTGGCTTGTGAAATAGGTGTATCAGACCCCCAAGAATTAGAGCAATTCATGTAGGTAAGATAAAGTCTGTGAAAAGCTTTGAAGCCTGGGTGAGGAGCTCCTGTTAGGTATGACCCCCAGTCCTTCAAGTAGTATTTCATAATGAGAGCAGTGAGTCAGTAGCTATTTCAGAACTATTAGAGTAGGGCATAGAAACCAAGTAACTTCAGTGAGTTATTCCATGCTATCTTTTTTTTTCTCCCCATGCTATCTTTTGTTTTGCTTAGCATTTTAGTGCATGATATTGGCATTTTAGTGCCGTCAGTGAAGGAATAGAAAACCCTCCCTCCCACTTCCCTAAAGAGTTCACGTGACTCTCTTTGCTAATGAGGGCTGTGAATGCTGTTTCCGATTTATCTCACCTGCCTGTGGGAACCTTTGGAAACCCTTTTCTGCCTTTCCCTGGATAACTTCCTGAAGCATGGAAGTGGGTGCTGCTGCATTGCAACCTGAGCCGAGTCCCTTTGCTGAGAGAAAGCTGACACCTCCTCTTTCTGCCTTAGGCTAGTGGGTGCTGCTGTCTGGGAGCTACTGTAACAAAAATGAGGAAATCTTGATCCAGCACTGTAATGTGAACAGATGTAGTTGCAAAGGCAATCTTTTTTTCCCAAAACATTTTTAGTTACTGATTTGAGAGAGCAGAGGAGAGGAGGAGAGAAACATCAATTTGTTGTTCCACTTATTTATGCATTCAGTACTTGATCCTTGTACTTGCACTCACTGGGAATCGAACCTGAAACCTTAGTGCATCGGGACAACACTCCAACCAACTGAGCTTCCTCGGCAGGGCTACAAAGGCAATCATTTCTAACATTACAGAAGTTAGATGCAAATCCTTAATTTTTTATTTGTTCACTTTACCAATTTTGAGCCCCTATCAATCATATGGCATGTACAGTAGCTCGGTGCTGCTGATACAGAGACCGGAATACAGTAAAATGTATTCCTTCCTTCAGGGATTTTATAGTTTAGAAGTTGGGAAGATAGTCGAGCCTGAAATTGAAAAGTACAGTGAAATGTCTAAGGAGCTATAATGTAGGTTGTGATTTCTCATTGGGGTACAAAGGGTGTGTCATTAGCTGCGGAGGGGAGGCTGAAAAAGCTTTTGTGAAGGAGTTAATGTATTAAATAATGAAGGATGAATACAGGTGGCCTTGTAGACAAATGAGAGGGCATTTAAGGCAGGGATAATGGTATGATTACGCTGAGACATGGAACTACGAAAGTTTGGCATGATCAACTTGGCTTTTTAGGGTGTAGCAAGGGATGAGCCCAGAGCCCCATGCAGAGGCCAGGTTAGAGGGCCTTGTAGACCAGACAAAAGCAGGTGTATTTCAACCTTTTTTGGCAATGGTCCATTATAGTAAGATAGTTTTACCTCAAAATGTAGTGCACACATATGTAAATGATAAAATGTCAGGAAAAAATACACTTCGTATGCTGCATTCTTGTTTTTCTGTTCTATTTTTAGAATAGAAAATGATGACAGTAACAACTGGTAATTTGAAAAACACTGCTCTGGGCTGTGGGAACCAGTAGAGGGTTTTACGCAGAGTAGTCCCATGTGGGGAAAAAAGGTGAGAAAACAGTTTTAAAAATCATTTAAAATTTGGTTTTGTATGTCGTGTCCTGCGGAAACACCAAGCCAGAGCAGTGAACCGCTTCTGGGTAGGGGAAGTGGATAGCTGGGCAGGCCCTGGAAAGTTCCATGGTAGAGGGCGGAGGGGACGGTGCTGAGTTGTGTGTGGTGGTCTGAGCAGGCCTCTTTCAGGATTAGGGAATTTCACGTGCAGAGGTGAAAACGTAGGAAATGGCGTGGTATGTTCCCAGCAGAGCTGCTCGCTGGGGCCATGAAACAGTGAATTTGGGATTGTAAAGGAAGTCCTTTGTAAGGGACTGTCTAGCTCCCATGTTAACTGCATGGAAGCCAAGAGTGGGAACACTTTGAAAACTCTACCAAGAAGGTAATTAAGGGGTACTTGGAGTTGTCAGTAAGATTTGCCTTGTAAGTTGAAAGTTATTTGTCCTGTGACACACAGAGTATTATAATTTTGGATCTATCGGCATGTATTAGGAGGATATCAACCATAAGGAGAATAGAGAGTTTTCATGTTTTTAGAAGAGGTCCCTCCTCCCCCTGTTTTATTGAAATATTATTGACACGTAACATTCTATTACCTTAAGGTATACAGTGTAATGATGTAACACATATTATTTGTCAAATAATGACCATAGTAAGTCTAGTTATCATTCATCACTTCATATAGTTACACATATTTTTTCTTGTGATGAGGACTTTATGAGAATAGGTTTATTTTTGAACATGTTAATGTAGTAATTGAGCCCACCCCACTCTTACTGAAATTTTGAAATAACTTTTTTTGTTTGTTTTTAGGGTTTTTTGAGATAACATATTATACATAGACAAGGACACTCTTGCTCTTTCCAAATGTCCTTTTTTCCTCAATCTGTAATCTATGGTCTCTATAATCTATTGTTCCATATAGTGAGGACTTTT